TATGGCTAGGGCTTCTTTTTCATAAGTGTCATATTTTACTTTGTTATCTGTTAGAGTGCGTGACGCGTATACGATCGGTCGGTCTCTGTTTATTTCTCCTTGTGATAGGATTCCGCCTATGGCTATTCCTGAAGCATCTGTAGTCAATATGAATGGTTTCGAGAAATCATATTGCAATACAGGTTCTTTGCATAATTCTTGTTTCAAGATTTGAAACGATTCTTCTTGTTCGGATGTGCATTCGAAATTTGTGTTGTTTTTTAATAAGGATGTTAACGGTTTGGCAAATTTAGAGAAATTAGGTATAAAATGTCTGTAATATCCGGCAAGTCCAAAAATTGTTTAATATTTTTTGTCGTTTTCGGTCTCGGAAATAATTTCACAGCTTCTAATTCTTTTGGATCTGATTTTACTCCATCTTTGCTAATTACATGTCCTAAATATGTTACTTCCGGCTTCAAAAATTCGCACTTGTCAGGCTGTAGTTTTAAATTAGCTTTTCGAAGACGTTCTATTAAAGCGTTGTATTTTCTTTCATGTTCTTCTAATGACTTGGCATAAATAACTATGTCATCCATATATACAAATAATTCTTCGCCTTGTAGTCCTGTTAATACTAAATTCATTAAGCGTTGAAAAGTAGCCGGAGCGTTTTTTAAACCGAAAGGCATTCTATCGAATTCGTAATGTCGAAAGGAGTCGTAAAAGCGGTTTTATGACTGTCGGCAGGGTCCATTTTTATTTGATGAAATCCAGATGCGAGATCGCATATGGAAAAATATTGCGCTCCCCCTAGTTGATCTAGTATATCAACAATATTAGGTAGTGGGTAAGCGTCTCCAATAGTTTTTTCATTTAAGGTTCAAAAATCAAGAACCATTCTCCACTCGTTTATTTCCTTTAGAATCGTCTTTCTTAGGCACGATCCATATGGGCGTATTGTAAGGCGATTGCGAATGTTTCACTATGCCTCCCTGTAGAAGGTCCTCTACCTGCTTGCTTATTTCTTCTTTATGTATTTGCGGAAATCTATATTGCCGAGTATTTATCGGGTGATCACTGGTGGTCGTTATTCGATGTTGCAAAACATGAGTTGCGGTTAAATTCTCTCCAGGAATGTGGAAACGATCTTGACTATTCATTATTAATTTTATTATGTTTTCCTGTTCTTTTCCATTTAAATGCTCTAATCGCAATAAGTCAATAATTTTAGAGAGTCGATCTTCCTTAGTTTCCTCAGAAAGTACCAAACAATTATGCGACTCGGAGATTATAATGTCAACCTCGTGTTTAGACTTATGTTTTCGCGTAAATTTATCTATTATTTCTTGAGATTTATTACATAGGGACGTAGAAAGTTTCGAAGATGGCTTATTCTTGCGATTAATTTTTCGAGAATTTTCGATTTTTCTAATGTTCGAATTATGTTCTTGAGCCTCTTGGATGAGGTCTTTTATTATAACATGGGAGGTTTCTAATTCATTATTGTCGTTTTTTCCTGTAAATAATCCATCCTTTAGAGATGTAAGGTCCAGAGCGGACGAAGAACTTCTTTCCCTTTTTAGATAAGGTGTCGATTTTCGTAGTGAAGTTTGGTAACTTCCCTCCTTGCAATCGACGGAGCTGGAATTTTCTGACGAGGTTTGGAAACTTCCCTCCGAAATTCTAGAATTATTTTTTTCTAAAGAGATTTGGTAATTTCCCTCTTTGCGATCGACGGAGCTAGAATTTTCTGACGAGGTTTGGAAACTTCCCTCCGAAATTCCAGAATTATTTTTTTCTAAAGAGGTTTGGTAATTTCTCTCTTTGCGATCGACGGAGCTGGAAGTTCAATTACCGTTCGTTTTCATTCGATGACCGTTCGATAGTTGTTCATTTCCGTTTGACGACCGTTTGACGAGAGTTCGTTTCCGTTCAATTACCATTTGATCGGGGTTGACACATTATATCGTGCTAATTTGCATGAGAACATGCATACTTTTGTCTTACGACGCGTTTTTGGTAAAACGATAATGATACGTCCACCGTTTGTCTGCTCGCAAAGTCGCGATATGATAATATTATATTATATTATATGATATATTATATGATAATATTATATAATATTATATTATGCTATGCTGAGTTGCATGGGACCGCGCGTACTTTTGTCTTACGATGCGTTTTTGGCATGGTGATAATCTGGTGGCATCTCTACTATAAAATCCCGTGTCGAGACCTCGTTGCCGCATCAGAAAGTCAGTTTCAGAGAGTGCACGAGTTAAGAAGAGAAAAGTAAAAAACAAAAAAAATGGAGTACATTTTTGAGAATTGCCCGGGGTGGAAGCAGGCTTTTTCCAACCTACTTTGTGTGCTATTGGTTAAACTGGCCTTCCACTGGGAGGTAAGTATCGATTTTGTGATTATTTTATAAAAAAATTTGTATATCTATATTAATTATATTTTTTTATACAGTCCCAGGATAAAATCCAGATTCCTGGATTTGTTAACATACGGCGTCGACAGTGGGTGCGGGCGGAGCGGCGGTGGAGGAGACAGAACCTCTCCTTCATGTGGGGTGACGCTCCGGAGAGTCCCCAGGACGAGGAGGACATCTTCGATCTGCGGCGGATCTTCGGGGAAGAGGAGGAGATTTGGGTGCCCGGGGAAATTCGGGCACCCAATGACATGTGTAATGGGGAGCACAGATGTATTTTTTTTTATAAATCTTATCATAACTACACTTGTATTAATCCAATATCTTTTTTTCTGTTACAGGAGCGGCCATCTCCCTGACCCAGCTCCCTCCTAACCCCCCACCCCCGCACCACCCAATATTATTATTTTTAAAATTATATTTTACATTTTATATTATTATTATTATTATATTTTATATTTTAAAATTTTATTCATAAAAATTATAATCTTAATTTTAAGTACACACACACGCACGCACGCACGCACGCGCGCACACACACACACACACACATATATATATATATATGTATAATACACACACTTAAAAAATTTTATATTTTAATTTTTAAAAAAATTTAATTATTTGCATGCCCCTCCTTGCGTTCCCATCCCTGCGTCTCTCTCGCGCTAGTTGTAAGTATCGTGATATCGTTCTCTCTCAAGCGTTAATCGTAAGTCTATCTTCATCTTTCGCGCTTAGAATAAGTAATCTCTCGTGCTGACAAAAATATATAGATTTTTAATAAGTAAATGTTGTATCAATTAAAAAAAAAATGTGATTATTTACGCGCCTCTCCTTACGTCCCCAGTCCAACATCTCTCTTGCGCTAGTTATAAGTATATTCGCGATATTATTGTCGTCTCTCTCACACGCATTGGCTTAGAATATTATCGTTCTTTATCTTTCATATATTCGTTGCTCACTTACTTTTGCGTCGTCCTTCTCTCACCTATACGTCGTCCAACGATGACGCCATCCTTGTCGCACTCATAGCACTATCCTTTTCCACACGTAGCGCTGTCCTTCTCACACCACCGTCTTCTTTCCGCGAATCCCCCTTCACCGCGCGGATCCCCCTTCACTGCGCGGACCCCTTCGTCCATCGGTCGCGCCACGCATTCCCCTTCCACGCGAGTGACATCAACCACCGCGCGCCACGGTTCCTTCTTCCCCACGCGTGACGTCACTCATACCCGCACCAAGTTCCTCTCGCGCCTTACCCCCCCCCCTGAGAGGAGCAGAGTTCGAATCCCCATAGTCTTACTACTTACGGCCATGCAGACGAACCTTTAATACCGATCTACAACAGATAATTTAAGCCCTAAGCCTTAAGAAATTGTCCAATCACAGCCGAGTATTCTCTTCATAAGCCGTGTTCCGAAATTGTTACCAGAACTGCAAATTCTACAGTGCACGTTACGTATATTATATATTTTCAGTGTTGGCAGTAAACTGGCAGCAATTTCGGAACCCTGCCATACTTGAATGTGATTGGTCAATTTCTTGAGTATTACGCCTTACAACCTTATGCTACGGCCATTGTAGGCGACTTTTGAAGCGTCGTCTACACTGAGATTTTAATGAGACTTAAGGAGTAAGACTTCAGAAATTGACCAATCACAATCGAATATTCTCTTAATAATTGACTGTAATTGGTCAATTTCTTAAATCTTACGCCTTAATTCTCCTTAAAATTTCATTGTAGACGACGCTTAATGTAGTGTCTATGATTAGTTTTTAATGCGTAAATCCTAAGAAATCGACCGATCACGGCCTAGTATTAAGAGAATATTCAATTGTGATTGGTCAATTTCTTAAGTCTTATGTCGTAAAATTTCATTGTAGAAGACGCTTAACATGTCGTCTACAATGGCAGTAGGATTAATGGATTAAAGCAGTAATTTAAGTAATTGACCAATCACATTCAAGCATTAAAAGAATACTCGACTGTGATTGCCCAATTTATGGTGTTACAGCTTTAATTCATTAATTCTACTGCCGTTGTAGACGATGCTTTAGGATCGTCCACAGTGGCCGTAGCATAAGGTTGTAAGGCGTAAGATTCAAGAAATTAACCAATCACAGTCAAATATTAAGAGAATACTCGACAGCGATTGGTCAATTTTTTGATTCTTACGCTTTACAACCTTATGCTACGGCCATTGTAGACGACTCTTGAAACGTCGATTACACTGAGATATTAAGGAGACTTAAGGCGTAAGACTTAAGAAATTGATTAATCACAGTCTAGTATTAAGAGAATATTCGATTGTGATTGGTTAATTTCTTAAGTCTTACGCCTTAAAATCTCATTGTGGAAGACGCTTAACACGTTTGTTCAAAATTAAAATGAACATTCGAGTTCGAAAAACGCATATCGAAGTTCGCATCTTTTCGCTAATAAATTACGAGAATTTAAAATTAACGGGCGTCGAGAATCTTCTCGAAATATCTGTTATTAGGAAAAAACCTCGAACGCTCGAGTTTTCGTTTTTTTCGCCACCAGAAAAAACGCGCGTTATTACCGCTGACAATATTATTGTCAACCGCCGTCAAAATTACTCCGCTCATGGGCATGCGCGCCCATGCGTCACGATCAGCTGATCGCCAATCAGCTGATCTAAAAGGATTGCGCACACGAAAAACAAACGACATCCATCGTGAGACGTCATTAACGACCAATGGCACACGCCGCAACAGTGTCACCGCTAAATTATGAAATTAATTGGTCCACGTCGAAGCGGGCCCAAAATCCGCTCGCTTTATAATGGGCACCGCGCGTGGACCAAGTCAAGTCTTGCACTTTTCGAAGTCTCGTACTTATCGCTGCTCGCAGTATTTCAAACCGCTTAGAAAACCGCATTGTTCAACCGCAAATTACGTCGACCGCTTTCTTTCTCGGACTTTTCTTTACTCTTTCTGTGCCTAAAATACATGTACATTTTTTTGGTGTAAATTATTAATTGTGTGGTTTAAAATAAAAAATCAAAATCAAAAAAAGAATTACGTGTCGTGTGAAGTTTTGTGTCAAATACTTTGTTCGCGACTATCCGTCTGCCGCGTCTTCAAAATCTCGCGCTGTCGCAGCAATCCGCGCTTACTCGCGAACATTTTTGGTCCTTCGAGCCGGATTATATCTGCATCCGCAGTTTCGTGGGTGACATTTCCAGTGCTGTGCAGTGCTGAAACAGACAAACAAATAAGTGACCAATGAGTGCCGACCTGAAGGCCTTGTTAGAGGCTCAGACCGACATCCACGGACGAATGTCTCGCTCCGTGGATAACCTCCGGAAGATGGGCATCACCAACATCACCGCAGGTGCCATCCAGGCTCGCCTCAGCATCCTCGACAACCTCTGGGCGAAATTCGAGGCTCAACATGAGCTGATACGAGCGGCGCTTAAAGACAGATACATGGAGAGTGAGTACGCCAAAAGTGACTTTGTAGACACCGCGGAATGTACGTACGTTTCTCAGCGAAGCACGTTGAGCGACTATGCTGACAGGCTGAGCGCCGAGTCAGGTGTCGCACACCGAATCGAGCCGAAGTCGGAGTCTTCTCCTAAAACCGCGTTGCCTCGTATAAAATTGCCGCCGTTCTCAGGCGCCTATGAAGATTGGCCTTCCTTCCGGGATCTCTTCTTGTCTCTCGTGGGAGAAAATTCGTCGATCTCAAACATTGAGCGGTTCCACTATCTTCGCTCCTGCGTCAAAGGATCTGCGGAGAAGTTAATTAGGTCATTAACTGTCACAAGCGAGAATTATGATCGCGCGTGGGCAATCCTGGCTAAACATTTTGAAAATAAAAGGGAACTCATGCGTTTAAATTTCTCTACCTTCTCTGCCGTCGGAAAGATGAAGTCTGAGTCCGCTGAAGAGCTGAGTCGCGTCCATCACGCTGTCACGGCCACCGTCAACGCGCAGGAGAGTATAGGAAGACCCATCCACTCGCATGGGATGGATCTCCTCAATCACCTGGTGATTGAGTTGTTCGACTCGCGAACACGTCTCGAGTGGGAATCTTCCACGAGCGATTCTCTCGACCCGCCAACGCACGAGGCTCTCGTAAACTTCATGAGCAAAAGAATCCTTACCTTAAACGCCGCTAAACCGAAGAACGCCACGAAGAACGCTGGGGAAACCTCACGGTCCGCTAAGTCTCACTTCGTGAGGAACGGGTTCGACGCTTCCAAGTGCGTCGCGTGCAAGGGCAAGCACACACTCATGCAGTGCCCTGAGTTCAAGGCCAAGTCCGCGAGCGAAAGAAAGTCATTCGTCGACACAAGCGGGCTCTGTTTTAATTGCCTCGGAAATCACGTGATGGCGAAATGTCAGTCCGTCAAAACGTGCTTTACTTGCAAATCGCGGCACCACACATTGTTGCACGACGCGTACGCGACACCAACATCGACACACGAGGCAAGCACTTTTTCAACCACACACACTGCACACGATCACAAGGCGACTCTTCTCGCCACGGCGCGCGTCATCCTCAACGACCGCTCAGGACAACCTCACGACGTGCGAGCTCTGCTCGATCAAGGATCCGAGGTGTCTCTCGTCTCAGAAGATTTAGCTCAGCGCCTGCGGTTGGCGCGCACTCGCTGCTCAATGTCGGTAATCGGTGTTGGAGCACGGTCAGGATCCACGCGCGGAAGGATCACGCTCGTATTAAAGTCCAAGACGACTGGAGCATACCTCACTGTAGTCGCCTACGTCCTTCCAAGGTTGTCTTCCTACCAGGGGCCAGCAGTTCGGGACTCCACCACGTGGAGGCACATTCACGGCCTCACTTTGGCAGATCCACACTATCTGCAGCGAGACCCGATTCATCTTCTCCTCGGCGCCGATGTCTTTTCCTCCATCCTTCTCGATGGACTCCGAAAGGGTCGCGAGGACCAACCCGTCGCGCAGAGGACGACTTTCGGGTGGATCTTGTCAGGAGGCTGCGGAGTGGTGACATCTAATGGCGTCGTCAGCTCCCTCCAGTGTGCTCTCGACCAAGACCTGAACGATCTGGTTCTAAGATTTTGGGAGCAAGAACGGGAACAGCCTGCTTCCGTCTCCCTCACACCAGATGAAGAACGATGCGAAGAAATCTTCAGTCGCACTCACGAGCGCCAAGGAGACGGGAGGTACCAGGTACGACTGCCGCTGGCTGGCTCTCTGCCACCTCTCACCCATACACGAAAGTCCGCCGAGCGACTTCTCGCGGCAATGGAGCGACGTCGTTCCAGAGACGATGACTTCGACATGCTCTACTGCGACTTCCTAGAAGAATATGCTAAATTGAAGCACATGACTTTGATCAATACACCGCTTGTGAGCAATACACCAGTATGCTACTTACCGCATCACGGAGTGCTCCGAACTGCGAGCAAGACCACCAGATTGAGGGTTGTCTTCAATGGATCCCAGTGCACGCCTGCCGGAGACTCCCTCAACAAGAGTTTACTGGTCGGAGCCAACCTTCTACCAACTCTCGCTGATGTCCTGCTTCGCTGGCGTTGGCACCGTTTCGTCTTCGTAGCTGACATCGAAAAGATGTACAGGCAGATTCTCGTGCACCCCGAAGACCGAGACTTGCAGCGGATCCTGTGGAGACGGCAAGGCACCGACAACATCCAGGAGTATCAGCTCAACACCGTGACGTACGGATTGGCCTGTGCTCCTTTCCTGGCGATCAGAACTCTTCGCCAATTAGCCGACGACGAAGAGCCCGGAAATCCCAAGGGGGCTGTAGTTCTGCGGCGCGACTGCTACGTTGATGACATCGTCACCGGTGCCAGTACTCTGTCGGAGGCAGTCGAAACGCAGAAGCAGTTACGCCGGCTCTGCATGGCGGGCGGGTTCCCGTTGAGGAAGTGGGCCTCAAATCACGAGACCATCCTCGAGGACATCCCAAGGGAGCATCAACTCCAGCAGCCTCATCACGACTGGGAGGACGACGCTCATCCAACGCTGGGCCTGCGATGGCACCCCCGCAGCGACTTCTTCACGTTCCGCCTTCAGCCTCGCGCAACTGGACCGTTGACGAAGCGACAGGTCTTGGCAGAGACGGCTCGGATCTTCGACCCTCTAGGTTGGTTAACTCCAGTCGTTGCTCGTGCCAAGATTCTCATTCAGTCAGCCTGGATGAAGCACCTGGATTGGGACTCCCCACTGCCTAAGACAGATGAGACTTTATGGAGACGCCTCCTTGACGACCTTCCGCTGTTGGAGCAGCTTCGGCTAAAACGATGGCTGAATACTGACGAGCGGCCACAAGTTGAGTTCCACGGGTTTGCTGACGCATCGGAGCGAGGTTACGCAGCAGCCGTCTACCTCCGCGTGGCGGGCTCCTCCGCTTCAATCAGTAGTCTGCTTGCTGCAAAAAGCAAGGTTGCACCCATTAAGCCCGTGTCTCTACCGCGTTTAGAATTGTGCGCCGCAGTGCTAGTCACTAACCTGACTTCCCATCTCCGCAAGACCTTAGGCTTGGTTTCAGCTCCAGTCACCTTATGGTCGGATTCCCGGGTGACTCTCCAATGGATCCAGGGTCATGCCTCCAGATGGAAGACTTTCGTGGCCAACAGGGTGTCCCACATCCAGACGAAGCTTCCAGAGGCACAATGGCGACACATCCCAGGACGAGTCAACCCCGCCGACTGCGCTTCTCGAGGGATTGAGCCACGGGATCTTCTCAACCACTCTCTATGGTGGACGGGACCCCCATGGCTCGTCGAGGATCCGTCGCTCTGGCCACAGAACAACCACGCCACCCACGACGTCGAGGCGCCGGAGACGCGAGCAATCACCTCTCACTTGACGTCTGCACGGAGAACCGAACCGGAGATGCTCATCAGGTTCTCCGACCTCCATCGCCTCCTGAGAGTCACAGCTTGGTGTTGCCGATGGAGAGGCAACCCACCGAGCTCCAAGGCTCACCTCAACCTCACGGCCGACGAGTTGGAGGCGGCTCTGCTCCGTTGGCTCCGCTTGGTGCAATCTCACCACTTCTCCAAGGAGATCACCGCTCTAAAACAGAAAAAAGGGTTAGTCAAGGGTCAGCTAGCTAATTTGACCCCCTTCCTCGACATCCATGGAATCCTTCGAGTTGGGGGCCGGCTGAAGCACGCAGTGCTCTCAGAGGATGAGCGCCACCCAATCATCGTACCTTCAGATTCGTGGCTGACACATCTTCTCGTCAGGGCTCACCACAGACGAACTCTCCACGGCGGGGTCCAGCTCACCCTCGGCCTGCTCCGCCTACGGTATTGGATTCCTCGAGGTCGCTCCATCGTCAAGAGGGTCATCCACCGATGCGTAACGTGTGCAAGATGGAAGGCTGCAGTGCCGCAGCCCATGATGAGCGACCTTCCGACGGCGCGAGTCGCTCCAGCACGTCCATTCTTGCGGACTGGAGTCGATTACGCCGGGCCGATCCTGATCCGAACCACCAAGGGGAGAGGACACAAATCGCTCAAAGGCTTCATCGCCGTTTTCATCTGCCTCACTACCAAGGCCGTACACCTGGAAGCCGCGTCGGATTATTCCACGGACGCATTCCTCGCTGCATTCCGGCGCTTCACTTCCCGTCGGGGCCTCTGCGAGGAGGTCTACTCGGATTGCGGCACAAATTTTGTCGGCGCCAACCGAGAATTGCGACTCCTGTTCCAGGCGTCGTCATCCGACGGCCGGCGCATCGCCCACACAGCAGCGTCCAATGGAATACGGTGGAGATTCAATCCGCCGGCGGCACCTCACTTCGGCGGGCTTTGGGAGGCAGCGGTGAAGTCCACCAAACACCACCTGCGAAGAGTTCTAGGCGACACGACCCTCACCTTCGAGGAAATGTCGACATTCCTCGCTCAGGTGGAGGCGTGCCTCAACTCTCGTCCACTTCAGGCGCTGTCCGATGACCACGACGACTTAACGGCGCTCACTCCGGGTCATTTTCTAATCGGGGCTCCTCTGCTGGCAGTGCCCGAACCTTTGCTGGCAGACGTCAACGTCAACCTCTTGTCCCGCTGGAAACTTCTCCAACGGATGCGCGATCACTTTTGGGAAAGGTGGTCGCGGGAGTACATCAACTCACTGGCTTCCCGACCAAAGTGGTTGAAGGACACAGCAAGTCCCGCCGTCGGCGGACTGTGTCTAGTGCGGTCGGACATCACTCCACCAACCCGATGGCCACTCGCTAGGATCACCAAGCTGCATCCTGGGGACGACGGCGTGACGCGCGTGGTCACTGTACGCACCGCATCTTCGGAGCTTGTCCGGCCTCTCATCAAGATCGTCCTCCTGCCTGGAGCCGACACCGCAGCATCAACACGCCCGGATTCGTGAGCGAAACAGAGCACCGTGTTTTATTCATAGTTTATTTTTTTTTGCAAAATTGTCCGTCCACGGAATTGTTTATCACGGCCGTCGTGCGCTACTTCCGATAATCGCGCCGCGCGCTATCACATTCATCAACACATTTTTTATATCACTGCCGAGCCGCTTCATTAACTCTTCTTTCTTCGGACTCCGCGTCAAAATCAACTTTCACTGCACTCACAAAATCAGTCACAGTATCACTTCATATACCTCACATACACCGCACTACTTATTCTCGCGAAAGACTTATCACAACTATTTAACACGTGTCTTCTCGTTACGTCACTTCGCATTCCATTCATCACTCATTTCACATCTCTCAATAGCACAGTTCGCGACACCTGTTTGTAACCGCACACACTCGAAAATTTCGTCACGTACTGACGAGGCGGGCGGGATGTTCAAAATTAAAATGAACATTCGAGTTCGAAAAACGCATATCGAAGTTCGCATCTTTTCGCTAATAAATTACGAGAATTTAAAATTAACGGGCGTCGAGAATCTTCTCGAAATATCTGTTATTAGGAAAAAACCTCGAACGCTCGAGTTTTCGTTTTTTTCGCCACCAGAAAAAACGCGCGTTATTACCGCAGACAATATTAACCAACACGACAATATTTGTCAACCGCCGTCAAAATTACTCCGCTCATGGGCATGCGCGCCCATGCGTCACGATCAGCTGATCGCCAATCAGCTGATCTAAAAGGATTGCGCACACGAAAAACAAACGACATCCATCGTGAGACGTCATTAACGACCAATGGCACACGCCGCAACAGTGTCACCGCTAAATTATGAAATTAATTGGTCCACGTCGAAGCGGGCCCAAAATCCGCTCGCTTTATAATGGGCACCGCGCGTGGACCAAGTCAAGTCTTGCACTTTTCGAAGTCTCGTACTTATCGCTGCTCGCAGTATTTCAAACCGCTTAGAAAACCGCATTGTTCAACCGCAAATTACGTCGACCGCTTTCTTTCTCGGACTTTTCTTTACTCTTTCTGTGCCTAAAATACATGTACATTTTTTTGGTGTAAATTATTAATTGTGTGGTTTAAAATAAAAAATCAAAATCAAAAAAAGAATTACGTGTCGTGTGAAGTTTTGTGTCAAATACTTTGTTCGCGACTATCCGTCTGCCGCGTCTTCAAAATCTCGCGCTGTCGCAGCAATCCGCGCTTACTCGCGAACAACGTTGTCTAAAATGGCAGTAGAATTAACGGATTAAAGCAGTAACTTAAGAAATTGACCAATCACATTCAAGCATTAAAAGAATACCCGACTGTGATTGGTCAATTTATTGAGTTACAGCTTTAATTCATTAATTCTACTGCCATTGTAGACGGTGCTTTAAGGTCGTCCTAAGTGGCCGTAGCATAAGGTTGTAAGGCGTAAGATTCAAGAAATTGAACAATCACAGTCAAATATTACGAGAATACTCGACTGTGATTGGTCAATTTCTTGAGTTTTACGCCTTACAACTTTATGCTACGGCCATGCAGACGAACCTTTAATTCCGATTTACAACAGATAATTTAAGCCCTAAGCTTTAAGAAATTGTCCAATCACAGCCGAGCATTCTCTTCATAAGCCGCGTTCCGAAATTATGACCAGTATACTGCAAATTCTATAGTTCCCGGTACGTATATTATATATTTTCAGTGTTGGCAATAAAAAGGCAGCAATTTCGGAACATACTTGACTATGATTGGTAAATTTCTTGAGTCTTACGCCTTACTACATTATGCTACGGCCATTGTAGACGACTCTTGAAGCGTCATCTACACTGAGATTTTAAGGAGACTTAAGGCGTAAGACTTAAGAAGTTGACCAATCACAATCGAATATTCTCTTAATACTTGATAGTAATTAGTCAATTTCTTAAATCTACGCCTTAATTCTCCTTAAAATTTCATTGTAGACGACGCTTAATGTAGCGTCTGTAATTAGTTTTTAAGGCGTAAGTCTTAACATTATTAAGAAGACGCTTAAAGGCCATTCTACAGTGGTCTTAGCATAAGGATGTAAGGCGAAAGACTCAAGAAAATGATCAATCACAGTCAAATATTAAGAGTATACTCGATTGTGATTGATCAATTTCTTAAGATTTACGCCTTAGAACCTTATGCTACGGCCATTGCAAACGAACCTTTAATCCCGATCTACAACAGATAATTTGAGCTCTAAGCCTTAAGTAATTGTCCAATCACAGACGAGCATTCTCTTCATAAGCCGCGTTCCGAAATTATTACCAGTATACTGCAAATTCTATAGTGCACGTTACGTATATTATATATTTTCAGTGTTGGCAGTAAACTGGCAGCAATTTCGTAACACGGCCATACTTGACTGTGATTGGTAAATTTCTTGAATCTTACGCCTTACAACCATAGACATATGAAAGTATAGACCGAGCATGAGCTGCTATTATGGGCAAGGGGCGATCTGTTTGTCGGGCGGGGAGTGCACTTACTTGACATCGGTTCATTCCGCTAAGACTCGACAATATTCGGCTTACAAACTGCGGCTGCCATATGTATATTGTGTTTGTTAGTGGCATAGATATGTGAAAGGTTAGTGGATACCTGTGGATTTGTGGATACTTAAGAGTGTATAATATATTGCAAAAAAATGAGCTTTTGCATTGTGTTCAAAAATCGATGAACAAAGAAAATGTTGAACAATTAGAAGTGGAAAGTGCTTTAAACCGGAAAATTTCATTTCATTTGTATGCAAAATATTTTAAATATAGATTATGTTAATTAAAAATTTGTAATATTTATATTAGTTAATATTTTAATGTACTTATAAAACTTTTAATTTACTTATATAAACAATATTATATATTTTAGATTTCCCAAAAATCTGGAGTGACGCAAGAAATGGCTTAAAGCTTTACAATTAGAAAATTATGAACCAGTAAAATCAGCCGCAGTTTGTTCTGCTCATTTTAAAAATACGGATTATGAACCAAATCATACAAATCGCAAGTTAAAAAAATATGCTGTTTTATATGTATGTATATATACATTACATCAATATTTTAGTTATTAAATATATTTATTGTAAGATATAACAACTAACAAATTTCTTTTTTAGTTACTTGAAACGGAAATTCAGCCTGCAATTCAAATTGATTTACATCATCAAAACACTATTCAAGAAAACACTACTATTGAAAAAAATAATAACGTTGCTGGTTAGTACAAATGAATGTATCTGCTTATGTTGGTAAATTAATAATATTAATACTACAATAATTGTATTACATTCTATTATAGACAAAAATATTGAAACAAATATGGAATCAGATAATGTAATGAGTACACATTCATGTAACACTAATCAAATACATCGTTCCACCAGTATATTTCCAGGCCGAATTATAAACTCACCAATAAAAACTGGAATTCGAAAGGTGTATACCAGTAAAATTAAAACTTTAAAAAGAAGGTTATCTACAAGTCAATATGAACAAAAAAAAATACGGAAGAAATTGCTTACACTAAAAAATGTATTAAAGGATGTGCAGAAGCGGAAACTACTAACTGAAGAAGAGAGTGATATATTTAGAACAATACAATATTAAAAATAATATTAAATAATATTAAATATATAATTTGTTACATATATTAATGTGTTAAATAAATAATACATTTGTTTAATAAAAAAAAAGTCAAATATTTAGAATGCAAGAGTGTATCAGTGGTTCGGAATTTTTTAAAGCAAGTATTACAAAATATTTAATATTAATTTTAAACATTTTTATGTATAACAGATTAGATCTATTCTTTTCAGCTTAACTAGCTGCACTAATTTAAAGTTTATTTTTTAACTCCACATTGGAAAAACAAAATAACCTATAAATTAGTATAGCCAGTTCAGCTAAAAAAAATAAATAACCTATTGAGAATCACTTAGTAGTCACGGACAACCGAACATATCCGAGTCACTCCGAAAATAGTCGACTTCAAGTGAGTGCCCCTCTTGATGCAATTATCAATATCCCTCGTGAAAAGGCTCTGTCTATAGTTTCATATGTCTATGCTTACAACCTTATGCTACGGTCATTGTAGACGACTCTTGAAGCGTTGTCTACATTGAGATTTTAAGGATACTTAAGGCATAAGACTTAAGGGGTTACACCACAGTAGAGAGCGAAAATTTAACGTTTCTTTGCGATTTTTTTTTAAGTGGAAGGAAAAGTAAAAGGGTAATTCTTTTTAAGAATGTTGTTAAGCATGTTTTGAAGTTTAAAAAAAAATTTTGTTTATTAAAAAATATTACAAAATGGCTGCCAAACAGCCGTTTCTGCGGAACGGTTTTTTTTGGAAGGGCTCCGCGGCACGCAGTAGAAGTGCAGCAAATATTAATCTGGAACAAAATAAAAAATTTTTTCTTAAACTACATTAGTATAGCTATAGAAATACGTAGGGGATTTTGAAAATATTTATTTTTGTTAAATTGGCGAGCATTTGAAAAAAAAGTTCATTTTACTACCAAAAAAACGGGCACTTACTTGTACCTAAAAAATCGAAATATTAACTTATCGAAAATCGGCTACGTATTTCTATCCGGAATGTTGTTTTAAAGATGTGATATTAATTTGGAGTGAAAAAATAGAAAATTGCTTGAGTTATGCTGCGTGCCGATTTGAAAAAACGTGTTTCGAGAAAAACGCGTTTAAAGTTTTGACTCGTGTTTCGAACATGATAAAATAAAAAATTTGATTATTAAAAATTTTTTACCTTTAATCTGCTATTCCAGCACCGTAAAGCTGACCTTCCAGGTTGCTAAACTCCTCCTCGTTTTCTTTCCTGGATGCTTTTATGCTGGAGCGAGCCTCTTTCGCTGCGTCCGTCAAAGAGCGCTCCGCACGTTGTATTCGAGCAGCATCCGCCTCTAAGCAAAAGTTGTAGGATTGTGGTCCAATGTTCATGTCCAACACTTTCATTATTCTTAAAACGTTT